TTCCCTATTTTCTTTTTCATGACCACAACCCCAGATTGTGCTGGGACACCATCCACTCCTAGCAGCTGCTGCCCCTTCTGAAGCTGTCTTATTCAGTCACCTGTTCAAATGGATACCAGGGTTCAGAGTGGCTATAAATCACACTGTTTCTGTGTTTGGATTGCTTGGTGCAAGCACCATCCAGGGATACATAGGAACCCCTCATAACCAGTCTCTCCATAACTCATGTTGAGTGCTTACATTTGAAGAGATATTTGGTGCCCTCCCCCACTTAGCGGTCTTCTCTTAGCAGACAGGAGTCCCAGACTGAGCCACGTGGAATCATATAGGCCTAGTCTGTATTGCCCTTTACCCCCACCTGTTCAGTTACCTGTGTGGTTTTTAGGATTTCATCAGTAAGAAGACCCAAGACAATCTACTGAAAAGTATTTAATAAGATTGTTCGATTAAGTGAAAGATAGTAATAAGCACTCCACAAAAAAAAGAGCATTTCATTTGGGCAGTATCCATAACAAAGTTAGAGCTCTCTAGTTAAAAGGTGTACAAGAAAAAAAATACATATTTTGACTATCATAATGGGAAAAGTAGAAAACACTGAAGTCAAATGAGGGTGGAGCAAAGCACTCATACCCTCTGGTGGATGTGTTGATTTTATAAATATTTTGGATGACAGTTTAGCAACCTATGTATCAAAAACTTTTAAAAAGACTGTGCCACTTAAAATCTGCTTCTGGAATTTAGTAATTGAACATGTGCACAGATACATATGTACAAAGATGCTCATTGCAGCAGTGTTTATAAAGGCAGAAAATTGGAAACTACTTCTGTGCTCATCAGTGGAGGAACTGTTTTACTAAATTATATTGCAGCTATTACACATGTTGTAGAGCTTTCTATAAAGCTAGCAAGTGTCTATAATAGATGTTTATAAAACAGTATGTATAATATGGTATCATTTTGGTTAGTGTATTTGTGTGCTCTTGCATGCATGTATGTCCATCTAAGAGTGAAAGGATGTAATCCAAAATTTTAAGAAACTTAGCTCATGTCTAGGAGATGGGATTACATATGACTTTTATTTTTTTCTGTATTTTTTTGTATCTTCAGAATTTTTTTGTGTTGAGGATATATTTTATCAGAAAAAAAAAATTTATTCTAAGAAAAAAATAAACCTGAGCCCCTGAGTTCTCAGCAGAGAACTCAAGGTGAACAAGCAAGACCTGGCGACTAACCTTCAGAAGCTAATAGTGTGGTTAACAGGGCAGGAAGCAGACCGTGTGATTTGTACAAAAATCATTCTGGGCCATTCCTGAGTACACCTTGATCGTCAGAGAGTCACAACCAAAGGATGTTCTTGGAACATCCTGACACATTTGACTCTAAAACAGACTTGGAGTCCAAGCTTCAGGATGTATTTTCCTCCTTGAATAGGCTCCTTTTCCACTGTGCTGCTTTGCTGTCAACACATTCCTGAATGCCTGGTCTGGTCAAAAACAAGCTCACTTACTCCCTACAGTACACACCATTTACTGAGCTGACTTCCTGTGTGGCTCCCCTGTGTGTCCAGAGTTACTAATATGTTACTTCCTTTCCTTCCCACCCCGGCTTCCGCAGTACTTGTCTTTCCACCTTCAGAAGTCAGCCTTCCATACCTGCAGTTCTTGGCACTTCTTTGGCTCAATTATTACTGTGTTTTTCTTGAACTTTGCAGTTTGCATTTTGATCAAAATGAAGAAAATTTGACCTAGTGTCTTCTATCTCTGCAATATTTTTGCACCATTTTGTTGGTGGGGGGAAGAACGTTCTACTTATTACTCATGCCTTGACTCTGATGCCCGAACTCTGCTACAGTTAGGAAAAACACTTAGGAATATGTGTCATTCATAACTGCATGGCATGTAAATAAAATTTTTTATGTTTCATATTTTGTGAAATCTAAATTTACATAAAGGCTTCTGCTTCTAATATTTTGTTTCCCTAGCACTTACCATGTACCTGGATTCACAATTTACTGAAAAATAGAAGATCCCATATTTTTACTTTAGTAGTTGTCTATTATTATAGTTTTTTCCCTTTGTGTTCTTCTTGGAATTAACTACTTTTTCTTCTCTTAAAAATTGTAGAGAGCCACGTGTTTTTTCCATATTTGCACATCAGTTACACTTCAAATTATGTGAATGTTTTGATATTTATTTTTCGTAGCGTAACCCTTCAACTTTATTGTTAGACAGTAAACCTTTCTTGCATCCTGCTGGGCATAAAGTTTGAGAGACTATTAACCCAAATGAACCTGGAATACTCTCCAATCTCATAGTAAATGACAACCATATCATAGGCTATTTGGAAATTCCGATACAGTAAGACAATCTCACTTGCTGTCCAAGGCAAGTTTCAAACACCCTTACACATAAACAAGAATTTGAGCAAAGATCCTAATCTGACTGCTTTTATTCAGAACTTAGACAAATAATTTAACTTCAGCATTTTTAACTATCTTTATTTTTATCTTTATCTTTATTCAGATCTTGGACAAATAATTTAACTTCAGCATTTTAACTATCTGTTTTTATTTAGGCCCGTTCCCTTATTTGTTACATATTCTTTCCATGCTAGTGATTAGTTTCTCCCTTTTCTCCGTTGTGTAGTAGAATGTCTTCTGCCAAGAGATAGGAAACCTGGATTTCACAGCAGTAGAGACTGGCACTCTTTTCTCTGGTATTGCATTCTAATAGTACCATATTGGAGTTTGACATATTTATTTCACACAGGCAAATGTTGCCTAGTTAGTGGGGTTTTCCTCCAAATAAAGGGCCATGGTCTTGCATCACACATGGGAGGTTTGCATATGCAAACCAGATTATCTGCGTGCTAACTGCCAGCCTGTTCCACTGTGCAAGGGAGGAGTGCCTGGAGCCATGTACAGATGTGGTTCTCATTCCAGGCCTAATTCTTCAGAACTTCAGTGAGCTCATGCTGGACTCCACCAGAGGCAACAGAATGTGGGCTACAGAGAACAAGTTGCTTTTTGTATACTTTTCAGATGTTGCAATGATGACCAGGTTTTCCTGACTATATTCTACTGGACCCCACTTCCCCTTTGTTCTTCTGAGAATTATAGATAGATATTTTTTCTCCATGCACAACGTTCCTCTAGCAATAGCCTTGGTTGTCACCCATAGTACAGTCCTCATTGAAAGTAAGAGAAATTGGGCTGGGCGCGGTGGCTCAAGCCTGTAATCCCAGCACTTTGGGAGGCCGAGACGGGCGGATCACGAGGTCAGGAGATCAAGACCATCCTGGCTAACACGGTGAAAACCCGTCTCTGCTAAAAAATACAAAAAACTAGCCGGGCGAGGTGGCGGGCGCCTGTAGTCCCAGCTAATGTAGTCCCAGCTACTCGGGAGGCTGAGGCAGGAGAATGGCGTAAACCCGGGAGGCGGAGCTTTCAGTGAGCTGAGATCCGGCCACTGCACTCCAGCCTGGGCGACAGAGCGAGACTCCGTCTCAAAAAAAAAAAAAAAAAAAAAGTAAGAGAAATTGAATGGACCTAAAGGACTCTGTGGCTGAAATGAAAAAGACAGGGCTCAGCATTTTCATATAGTTTTAAATATTCTTGAAGTTTATTGGTTTGAAATAACTGAAATTGCAAATATAAGAATTGGATAGTGGTATCAGCCTAAGACATCGATGTGTCTTTGTTTTCCTAGCCCTTTGTTGCCCTGGATAGGAAAGGTCTCATGGCAGAGTCACACTGTTTGTGCTTAGAATTCCAGGTTATATGCACTGGATGAAGGTGCATTGAGATGGGTTACATCAGCAGCATTCAGTCTGTTGGTGAAATACCTGCTAATTAGGAACTTCAAATACTGGTAATAAACCTTCATGTGTACAACAGTGGAAAAGGGGAAAGGAATGATAAATATCACATTTCATGTAAGTATCAAAAAGTGTATGTTCTCAAAAGTGTGAAGAAAAGGAGAAAGTGGTGTGTGGTAAAATTGCGTAGCTTCTGTGCTAATTGATACTGAATGCAGAGGAGAATTAATCACATTTAATGAACATAATGTACAAGTTATACACCAAATGATTGCAAAATGAAATCTTCTTATTAGTTTTTAATGAATCATAGAAAACTTTTCAGTATCACTTAGTTAAAAAGCAGTCGATTCTTAACAAAATTAACATGAGCATTCTGACAAGCTGTGTGAGAACACAAATTCAAATCATTCCTTGGAGTAAATTAGAACAATTCTATCCAACTCCATATGCTAATAGGTATTTTTGTGTTTGATTTCTGTTCTGCCATCATTTCTTTTTAAACCATAAGGATTTTAAGCTCTAAACTAAAGGCATCTGTGTTTTGCTGTTGCTGGTTCTTTTGGTTTTTAAAAATTTGTTTGCTAAGAATGAGGGACATCATTCGTAGATTAGGGGACAAACACCAATGACTAGTGCAGCTTTTGTTTATATGGAAGTATCTTTTGGCATTTGTTTGAAGTTATCCCATGATATCTTCTATAAAGCGGTGAGGTAGGTCCAAAAAGAAATCATGAAAAATGGTAAAAGTTTAGAAAATAAGACCTAAGAAGGATGAGATTTTCATCAACAGTTTTTTTGTCTTAGATTTTTCGTCTTGTTAAATAAACTTCACTCCCTTGGATAGGCAGTTTTGTTTACTATGTTCGTTTTTGACCTTGATATGCCTTTGCTGCTTAATGTGGAAATAATTCTGGGATGATTGTGTTACATACGTAATATTGATATGCTCTCATGAGTTTATAGAATAATATTGTACTGTTCAATTCAAAGACTTCGTTCACCAAGAATACACCGTGTTTGCCATGTCATAGTCATAGTGGCCATGACTGCTTGGTAAGCTGACTAGTAGTGGATGTATTTCTCTTTCACAATAAACCTATTAAAGCCTGAAAATTAACACTTACAAATCAGCACTTTTTCAAAAAAGTATATATTACAATTTGTTTTTCTGTTTTACACAGGAAGAATTTAATGGAAAATCTGACTCCCTCTTTTTTAATGATGGTCAGCGAAGAATTGACTTTGTTCTAGTGTATGAGGATGAAAGTAGAAAAGAGACCAGTAAAAAGGGTACAAATGAAAAACAAAGGGTAAGTTTTAATGCTATTTTCCTTTCTTTTTATTTCTTATATTGTAAAATGAAAAAACTGCTATTTTTTATAATAAAGTGAAACTGGTGTTGAAATATCATACACAAAACATAGTTTCATATTTTCTCTGCTCGTGTTCTCTCAAAGCATATTAACGAAACGTTTTTAAAATTTGAATCAGACTTTCTCAGGCTCTTAAACTCATTTGGTTGCACAGCTGAAAGCAGACTTTCTTTCAAGGAATTGGACTTTCTATTGTACAGAAGAGATTTACCTTAAGCATGCCTGGCTGTTCAACTAGGTGGGATAGGAAGCTAATGATTAATAATGACTAGTGTAATAACAACTAGCTTTCAATGTGTGCTCACTCAGGTATTGTACATGCATTTTGCATACACGTTCTCCTTTCATACAGTATGAAGTGGGTTCTATAATCACACCATTTTATGGATGATAGAGATGACCCTTAGGTTAGATGAGTATACAAGGTCATGGACTCTGGTCTGGTTCAAACTGTCTTGAATGTGGAAACTGTGCTCTTGACCCCGCATTTTTTTCTGTTACCTCCCTTCCCTGCCTTTCATTCATTGCATTGCCAGTCAAGCTGCTCTCTTCTTCCTTTCCTTTGCACCAAGCTTTCTAAGGTGAAGGGCCTCTTTATCTCAGGATGTTAAACAGTAGGGCAGGGTGATAAACAACTCCCTGGAACTTTTTTACTTGTACCCAAACTGCTTTAAACTAAAACAGACCGAAAAGGAGTGCATATGTATATTACTTTCACCCACTTGAGAAATCATTTCTCATCCTTTTTTTCCTCCCCTGTTCTTCACATACTTGCTATCACTGACACACACACACACAAATTTAATTGTCCCTGTCTGGACTGTCTCCTTGAAATATGCCAACTTTAAATCTATTGATTTTTGCCCAGTCTTTCAAATCAAGTGATAAAACCTTTTAAAAAATGAAGTAATCAGTACTGTTTAATTCATCTGTTTGTTTCAGAGGGGGTTAAGTTTGGCATTTTATATTTGCGTAGTGGAATAGAATGAGCCCAGACTTTGGAACCTGACCTTCAAGTTATAATTCTGCCACTCTATGGGAGTAATTCTAGTTGTAACAAACAAGCCCCCAGATGACAGGGGATTAAAGCAAAAACAGAGTGTGTATTGTTCACATCAAAGTGAAATGTAGCATCCCTGTTTGGCACATAGTTTGGGGTTGGGCCTCTGTCCTTTGCAGTTGTCAAGAAACCCAAGCCTGACAGAAGCTCTGCCATATTCCATAGGTAGACTCCTGGGTCATCCTGAGCATCAACTTAGATAAATGGTAGATAAGATGAAGAAAGTACTCATGCTTCTTTACCACTTTGGCCTCAAAGTAACTACATCAGTTGTGCTCACATGCTACTGGTCAGAACTCAGAGAGTGGAAAGTATCGTTTCTGGCTGGGTAGCTATGTGACTTAGGCAAATTTTCAAATCAACTATTTTTTTTCTTTTTTACATTTGCCATCTCTAAAATCAGTTGGATCTTACAAATGCTGTATCATAATTTCATTGTTGAATTTTTTCTTATTAATACATAAAATATTGGCTCACCATACAATCTATGGCATCTTAGATTCAGGAAAATAGGATCCTAATACTTAGTTTATATAATTATGGTTAAGATTAAATAAAATAGCATATATAGACGTTACATAATTTTTTAGCATTGTTAGATCATAAATTTTAATTCTTGTATCTTCCCTTTTTATTTGGGATTTTCTTAAAATAATGCCCTGATATGAGAAGGCATGACTTTTCTGTTATTATACAATTTTATCACTAAAGTAAAGCAGCTTAGGGTACTTTCATTTTCCTGTGGACACTAAGATATATTCTATGCAGTCATAGTCACCATCATCAAATATTCATTAAGCATCCATATGCCAATGGATCTGGATTGAGCACTATATAAAGTAAGTTAAACAGATCTAATTCATTAAAGTATAAAAGAAACAGTTCTCGTTTTAGACAGGAGCTTTACTGCCATGGTGAAGGGCCCTAAAGCTGCTTACATTATTAATCAGTTCTGCATTTGCTTGAGACAGAAATATAGGTCCCAAGGTAACTCTCGTAAATCAGGAGAAAAAAAATCATCATTAATTTTGGCAATCCTTGAACTCATGGATTGATACACCTTGATGTTCATTTTTATAAGCTGTGCTTTGAAGTGTTTTCAGACTGTATTTGCACATACTACTTAGTTTATATATACTTCACCGAAATTCAAAGCTTAACTTTGGAATCACGTTTTTCTTCATTGGAAAAATGTTTGTGAGTTCCATTGTACTCCTTGTCAGGCCTTATTGAGGATTTAGGACAATACCAAGGAAAGGCCATTCAAAATCCTGTTTTCTTTGAAAGAAAAAAACTTATATGTAAACCATATTGATTTCCTAAAGCAACCTCAATGTTGACTCCACCAGAGTTTATCTAAAGGATATTGTTAAACACTTTGTAGGGCTGGAGAAAGATAGAAGTGATGGGGCTACAAACACCAAAAACATAGAGTATTTAAAAGGATATATCATCCTTTGAACAAAAAGAAAATAGTTTTCTAGCCAAACCTTCAAATATCATGTAACCTGCGCCACTCTTATTACCAAAAACACTTAAACGTAACACCTTCCTTTAAAAATCATAAACCATTTACATTTAGGTTTTACCTGAGGATGATTATAAGTTGCTTCAGCAACAAACAGTCATTTAGCCTGTACTGGGCTTGACACAGAATGTTTGAATGTTTTCAATCACAAATAACAGGAAAACCAAACTCAAAATGGCTTAAATGCTAAAAGGAAATAATTATTTTCTCTTTTAAGTAGTCTGGAGATACAGCCATTTCTGGATTCGTTTATTGGCTTAATGAAGTTATTCCGTCCTCCTGCTCTGCCATCCTCAATATGTTGGCTCTTAAATTGTCTTCCCTTGATTTCAAGATGGCTGCTGCAACTCCAGGTAGCCAGAGGCAGAGAGACGGAATGCCCTTTCTCAGGGCTGTTTTTTAAGAGGGAAGAAAGCTCCTCTAGAAGGGCCCTTTGCAGATTTCCTTTCACAATTCATTGTCTGTTACAAGTCTCTTCCTAAATCAACTACTGGCAACATGAATGGAATTATCGTCATTAGCATAGACTAAACAAGATTGGTATTTCGTCTCTTGAGTCACCTGATCACAGAATACCTAAAGAACAAGCAGGCTTTTCTTAATAATAAAGAGGGGAGAATGGCTGTTCCGTAGGCGGCCAGCAGTATCTGGCACAGTAGATGATTAAATATATCTAAATATGTTTGATCCATATTGTAAAGAGCAAAGAAGTTTTACATAAAACAAATTCCTGTATATTTCTCCAACTCCTCTTGCTCAGTTTTGTTAGTAATTGCTGCATTCTTCCAGAATGGCTAACAATTGGCAGAACTGATCTTTTGAATTTTGTTTTGTCTGATGCTTGCCTTCAAACTGATGTGTTAGTGACCAAGTAATGGTACAATTCAGATGAGGGTGAAGACGGGGAAGAGGTCTAGGTAGCACAAAAACAGTGGGAGCAATCCTGAATTTGATTTTTTTATTTACTTTTTAAATAATTAGTTATCCATTCCTAAAAGTTAATGGAAAATTTATGTCCTTGAAGTTGAAAAGTTTATATATGGAAGTATATATTTGTATTTCATATCTGGCCTTAAGAATTCTTTAGTGTGTGGCAAAAGGATCTGGCCAATAGACACTGTAGGATAAAGAACTTTTTAAAAATGAGTGAACAAAGTTACAGTTATATAATTATAATTCAATTCAAACTTTCAAATACTGTGAGACAACTGACTAATTGGTTATAGAGCCTGTGGGCTTCTAAAAACTGTTATCCATTATTTTGGATGAATCATCATGAGACCAAAACAGTTCTCCTAGAGTCTGGACGAGATCTCTTGGGAAATGTTTAAAAGCTTACCAAAAAGTTTTACTATGGTGAACATGATATATCACTCCTTTTATTGAGATCTACTATTCTTTAAATAAAGCTTTATAATACAGGTTGAGCATCCTAAATCCAAAATGCACCAAAATGCAAAGCTTTTTGAGTGCTGACTTGACGTTCAAAGAAATGCTTAGTGGATCATTTTGGATTTTCAGATGTGGGATGCTCAGGTGGTAAGTATAATGCAAATATTCTAATTTCTTAAAAAGTCCAAACTTAGAAATGCTTCTAGTTCCAAACATTTCAGATAAGAGATATTCAACCTGTAATGTCCATGAAGATCTTGTACATTTTTATTAACTTTTCCCAATTATTTAAAAATTTTGTTACTATTGTCAGAGGCATTTTAAATGCAGTTATGATTTACTGTGTGTAAAAGAAGTCTATTGATTTTTATAAGTGCCAAGAACCTTGATAAGCTCTTTTTAGTTTAGTAGTTTCTAATACTATTTTCTCAAATGAAGACCATATTGTCTACAAATGATGACAGTTTTGGTCTTTCTTTGCCATATTTATTCTTTTTCTTGTCTGAGTGCAGTGGCTATTGCCTCTTGAACAAAACCAATACACATAGTAGTCACGATTGTATTGTTCCTGATTTTAATGGGAATGTTTCTAAAATTTCACTATTAAATATTACACTTGCCATACATTTTTGATAAACTTCTTTTAAAAAGCTAAAGGAGTTCCCCTTTAGTCCTAGATTGCTAAGCATTTTTATAATAACTGGGTTCTAAAGTTTATCAAATGCTTTTTCTTGTATCTATTGAGGTGATCATATGACTTGATTCCTCATTAAGTCTTATGCATATTAAGTATTTGGTTACTTTTGCCTAATAAGATAGTATTCTAACTGATAGTATAACTCAAGGCATTCATTTATTAGCTTTAATATGCAATGTGTACTTTTTATAGTTATTAGCACCCTACTTATTTATGTTAATACTACATTAAATTTTTCTGTCTATGGTCACAAGTTGCTT